ACTTGAGCTCTTGGTGGTCCCAGTGCTGGTGAGTCTGTGCAGTCTGAAGGAAACAGGTTTGCAGCTGAATTTATTCATGGAGTGAAAGCAGCATAAATGGCCCACACAGAACCCAGTTTTCTCCACAGCAGGGCAAGAGATGTGCCCTGGGAACTGGTGGGGCTGAGACAAGCCCTCTCCTTGGTATGGGGAGAAGTGAAACCTAGAGGGCTCAGTCTGCCCTGCAGCCCAATGAGCAGCATCTGTCTGCAGGCAGGCACCTCTGGGGAACTCATCATAGCCACAGTGGAGGAGAGGGTGGCTAAGGCTTGGATGCCTCTGGATGCCCCTACTAAAGTGGATCTAGGAGAGGAGGGAGTGTGACAACCTGCAGGAATATGGGGAAAAGGAGCACTTTTGGAGGGAAAGTCCCCCACTGCCAGCACCAGGTGTCACCTCTTTGGACTTCAGGCTGCCCTGTGCTGTGGTGCCCCAAGGGTGACTGTGCTGTGTAAAAGGGGTGGTGCCATAGCACAGGGAACTGAGTGGCTGAGGGTCCCCAGTTCTGTGGCATCTTGTTGCCAAGTCAGCTTCTCCCCGTGTTAGCTGTGATTACCTGCTGCCTCACTAAGGACTGCATGAGAAGGGCTGAGAGACCTGCAGGAGCCCTGTGAGGCTTAAGCTCTTCTAGAAGCAGCAGCTCCTGAGCAGTAAGCACAGGAGACCATCCTTCTCTCCCCTGTGGCCAGGGTGCACTCTCTGCTGTCTAGCAAGGATGCCGAGTGATGCCAAATGCACTCCCAGAGGCAGAGAGGCCCTCGTTAGCTGGGAGCTGGCTGGCAGGACACTCCTGCGCCTGGTTGCTGGCTGTTAACCATCTCTTTGTACGAGGAGAGGCAGCAGCCCGTGAGCTGCCACCTGTTGTTAATCTACCCCCGGCTAATCCATTCTGCTCTGCGTCAGCAGTTCAAAAGGGCACTGTTAGTATTTTTTGCCAACTTCAATTAACGTGAGATTTTGGAGGCCCCTCTGATCACATTTCATCTGTCATGAGTCAGGAACAAACCAGCCAGATTGCAGTTGAGAGGAGAGAAGAGAAGGAGTTTATTGCAAACCAAAACAACAACAACAGTGTTTGTTCCCCCTTGGCCAGGGTGGCTGGGAAGCAGGGTCCTTCCCAGTGATGTCACTGCTTTCAAAACCTAGAAAAATAAAAATTGGTGACTGGAAATTCCAGCCCTCCACCCCCCTTCCCCCCAAAAGAAAAAAAACCCTGCAAGTGCAATAACTTATTTCAAAAAAGTTAAAAATAATCAAGCTGCAAGACTGTTTGTTTTTTTTTAATATTCCACTGTAATGAACAGGTAATACATGGTTGCATAGGCAGTAACATTGTATGGCACAAACCTCACATGGCAACATTTTTAATGATTTTTTTAATTCTTTTTTTTTCCTGAACTTTTTAAAAACTTCTTTATTTTTTTAGTATGTTCTACCCCAGGCCAGTAAGCTAAAGAGGAAAAAAAAAAAAAAGGTTGCGTTTATACAAGGTTACAATATTTTACAACAAAAAACCAACAATATTGATTGAGGTTTGTTTTCTTTCTTTCTCCCAGTCTCTCTTTCAAACACTGCACACCTAAACCGATATATTATTATGCATTGAAAACCGTCCTTCAAAATCAGTAGTATAAAAGTCCTAGCTCTACCTACCTACCTAGCTATGTGGGGGGAGTGGGGAACTGTGTTACCAGCAAAGAGTTAAGGGGGTACAAGGCCGCTCCCTCATCTCTTCCCAGCTCCCTTTGGGAAGCTGCAAAGGACTGAATGACTTTCCATCTGATTTCACTCCCTTCCCATTTGGGTTTAATTTCTCCCTCGGTCTGTTTGCTTTTTGCTGTGTCAGTCAGAGTAGCAAAATAAACACGGGGCTCTGCCTCTGCTTGATTATTTTTTCAATCCTTTTCCAGGAAACTACCTTTTTGCCTTTGTTTGTTTGGAAAGTGTTTTACAACGTGCTGCTCGGTCTTAGTGTGCTCTGGGAATCAGGGAAATGCACCTCCCCACCCCAAAACACCTCCATTACTGGAGAAAACCAGCAGGCAGCACTGCTCTGCAGCACACCGGGTACACCTGCCCTGGGTTGTGCTGCGTGCCCGTGGCTGATGGGGCGGGTGGAGCCATGTGTGCTGCAGCTCTGCAACCTCATGTGTGACACATTGTTGCTACACATGGCCTTTCCCTAACACCCTGCCCAGCTCATGGCTCAGGCCAGATGTGTTCCATCAGGGATGCATGTTCTGGCAGGGATGCAAACTCACTCACACTCTGCCATGGGCTCTAGAGGAGAACAAAGTTGGTTCTCTTTTTGTCTTGCTGTCTTGGTACTCTTCCCCATAAGCTCTACTCAAGCAGGTGCTGGGGCGGTGAGACCTGAACTGAGTAGCATATTCAAGATGCGGCAGCTGGAGCCTGGCTACTGGCTGGAGAGCCCACTTGGAGCACGGGTGGGTGGCAGTGCTGGCAACAGGCAACATGCCTGAGGGCTGACCTGGCCCCTGTCTCACTCCTCTCCGTGAGCTTGTTCAGGCACAGCAACCCTTAGAGTCTAGACCCTGCAGGGCCCAGCAAGCCCAAGCCTGGTTCACCACTGGTTTGCAATTGCTACCAAAGCATTAACTACTGCTTGTAGGCAAGAAGTGCCTCTGAGTATTTGGCAGTGAGTGGTACCCAACCACTTTTAAACAAGTGCCAGGAACTCGTCCTGTTCTCACTATTTACATCCATCCTCCTGGTCTCAAAGCTCTGGGACATCTCTGGTAGTTTCTAACCATGGGCAACATAAGCCAGCCCCCACGTATGGTACCTGCTGCATAGGCAGGGCCAGGACTGCTTGGGATAAATGCTTTGCTACCGTCATGAGGCTGGAGAGAGCGGATGGGTGAGTCCAACTAGCTGGGCTGCATCCACAGAGGATGCCATTATGGGGATGGCAGGTGTCAGAGCGGCTGGGGCTTGTGAGACATTTTGGTGGTGGCTGGGGACAAAGCTTGCAGCTTTGAAGGCAAGTCCAAACCAGGGTATCGTGACTCAATATATGGACAGGAGTAAAATACTAAATAAGAAATAAATAGAGAAGAAAGTCATAAATAGAATTGAAAGGTATTAAAATAACAATAATAATAATTAAAATGGTATCATCACGGTAAGTTGAAATTGCAAGAACAGCACTGACCCTGTGACCCTTAAGAAATGCAGTAGCTGCAGACCTGCTAGGTTAAGATACACACACATATATATGTATGTATGTATATATATATATATACAGTTTTTCATGTTAATTTAACAGCTAGTTTTAAAAAAACTTTGAAATAATTTTTTAAAATGTGTGTAAATACAGATGTCTATAGGTTAAAAACTGCCAGAATAAACTGCTTTTGGAGATTTGTGAGGGGCACGCTTTCCACCACAAGGGAGCTCACCAGAATAGCGGCAGCACTCGGAGAGGTGGAGCAGAGCCTGGTGAGCAGCAGGGCTCCCCATGGCAGGGGGCAGAAAGGGAGCCCTGTGGTAGGGGGGTCCAAGGAACAACATCCCCCCTCCCCTCATGATGCTTTCAGGCAGGCTGAGGGCTGGGCATGTGCAGTGGCATTTAAATTAGACTGAGTCCAACATGTGCTTTCCACATGAATTTTAAGGTGAGAGAAAGTGGGGGCCAAGCCTCTCTAAATGCCAAGTCGGCTGCCAGGAGTCTCTAACAAGACAGGGATACAGCACTTAATCATCTGGGCTATTAAACAGCTTGGATGAAACCCTGGCCTTGTGGAAGTCTGTGAGGAAAAGCTACCCTTTAACTTCAGTAGGGAATGCATCTAAGTTCTTGAGTAACTACAGTCCTCCACTGGAGCTGCCTTTGGTACCTGTAGGCCATGCAGGACGCATTCCCATGTGCCTGCCTGCCCCATCACCCTCTCCTTAGCTCTCCCTGTTGCTAATTTACCTTGTCAGTAGTGGTACTGGGCTGTTTGGGCAGCGGCCCTTCACAGATTGCCTGCTGACTGTGGGAAGCATCATGCTCATTGGTGTATCTGGGAAAGTGCTCTCAGCACCATGCTCAGCTGCCTGCAAAAAATCTAGTGGAGAAATTGCCTCCTGCCACTGGTCCCTGGGTGGTTGGGAACCTCAATGGCTTCTGAGGCACCCACTGGGGGTGGTGTACACTTCCAACTAGTCAGCATGACTGTTCAGTGATCGGCATCACTTCTAGCATTTAACCCACCATGGCCCAATGTCTCAGCTGAATGTTTAGGCTAGGATGTAAATCCTGGCTGCTTGGGATGGGAGAGACCCTGGTCATACAGATGGTGTGGTTAAATGCATGCTGGCTCCCCGTGTGTACCAGGGAAGGCATCTCTTAGCATTTCTGAGAAAAGAGACAGTACTACTGATCTTTTCATATTCCAACAAATATATTACTTTTGACCGAGAAATGGTGTATCATTTAGGTAGTATATGACAGTCTAGACACTATGGAAATACTTGTATAGCTTGTTAACCTGAAACCTGACATTTGGTTGTAGCTTATTTGAAGCCTTTTCCAAGACCACTGGATATTCCTGGACCTTGAACTACAAGATCCCCTAACACTATGCATGAGGAGACAGGGCAGGGTGACAAAAAAATTTTTATGTGAGTAATATCCTATAGTTCCCTTGCAAATCTTGAGGACAGCTGCCCCAGTTCAAGCCCAGCCTGCTCAGCTGACTTTCAGCTTCTCTTTGGTAGTATTTCAGTGGGGTAAAAGGATGTTCCAAAATTATTCCTAGCACTATGAGATAATTGAAAAACTTGTAAAATGTTCAGCCTTGCAAAGGAGATCTTACTTAAAATGCTGTGCAGGTAAGAGCACTGGGAGGGAAAAATGGGGAGGCACATTGGCTCAGACAAACCAGGCAAGTTCTGGTGTCTCCTCCTTCCTCAACAAGGTGAAGAGGGTCCAAGGTAGCTGGAGATTAGACAGCATCACCTCATCCACCTTTGGATCCCTTCCCAGCCTGTTCCCTGTGCCATCCCTTGTGCAGAGATGCCTGCAGCTGTTGTGTGCAGCAAGGCACTGGAGTGGAGGGCTGAGGGAGGGCTTGTCATTGCATGTATCTGACCCCAGGATAAGGTATATGAGGAATTTGATGGTCTCATGCCACTGTGGCTGTGTGCTAGCACTTGAGCTGTTTCTCAGAGCAGTCTCTTCGGAGACCTGTAGATTTACATAGCAACTGTGCTTCCCTGCTTTAGCTACTGTCTCTAAATTGAGGTTAGTTATTGCCAACCCAGTGAAAGCTGGAGGAAACCTTTTGCTGCCCCACCATGCGCATAAGCCCCATCATCAACCATAGCCAGGCAAAGCAAAGCCCAGGTGCTCCCTGAGGCAGTGAGCCATGCTTGGGAAGATACTGTCTGCTGGGATGCATCTTTGTCTGGGTCACCAGAGGGCTGGCAAAGACTCTCAGCATGATAGCACTGTGCCATGTTGGGTAGAAGGGTATCCCCTTCGTGGACTTCATCTCAGACTACAAGGTGGAGAGAAAGCTGGATAGAAGGAGGTGGGCTAATGTTGCCTTCTTTCTAGCTTTAGTTATCTTCCTATCTTCCCAGCCCTGTTACTGCTCAGCTGTGGGAAGTCTTAGCTCTCGCTAAAATGACATAAGCAGCACGAGAGGTGTCTCTTTGCTGGTGCCAGAGTTCCCATCCAGTCCCCTGCCCAGGGCAGAAAATGTGTGTGTGAGAGAGAGTATGTGCATGTGTGTGTAGGTGGGTGGGTGGATGGGAGAAGCTGCTGAAAAGCCAGTGGGCTCTTGCTCTTTGGAAAGGCAGATCTGGTGTCAGAAAAAATAGCAGGGAGAAAAAATGCCCAGGTTACTGGGGAGGTGGTGGTGAGGAGGGATGCATCTCATCCCAGATCTTGATGGAAGAAGTGCTGCTCCACAGCCTCCCTCTCCCTGCCTGATCCCAGGAAGCCAGGAGCTGCCATGTTCATGCTGGAAACACTCCACTTACATTAACATATGTACTTTATATGCCTAGGGTAGCTAAAAGTGCTGCATTCAGATCCCCGAGGAGGCAACTGCTGTCTGGCGTCCAAGCGGATGGATTTGTTCAGCTGTCCCTATGTGCTCTCTCCGTGTCACGGGCACTGGGCCGCAGCCCTGTCATGTCGCCCAGGAGATAGCGGCGCTGTGCTCCTTTGCTTTCATCCTCAGGGCAGCGATGCTGGAGGTCTTGCGGTCCGGCTCGCTGTTCAGCTCGTAGCCATTGAGGCTGGGGCTCATCCCGGCCGTGCCAAAGAGGCCACCCATGTGAGTCTGTCCCACGTGGCTGCCAGGGCCGGAGACGCCGAGGAACTCGGAGACACCGCCGGCCGCGTGGGGGTGGGCATGGGGGGACATGCAGGAGGGCACCGTCTCGCAGGGGACAACACAGGCAGGCACAGGAGAGGCAGCTCCATTGTTGCCAATCCAGGAGGGGTTCTGGATCTGGGGATGGGGAAAAAAAGCATCAGGGCTGCCCTGAGCAGGATGTGTCCAGCAGCTGGCCTGGGGGGATGGATTGTGTCCAGCGCCAGCCCTGCAGGGCAGCCCTGTGCATGAGGGGCAGCCAGTGCGAGCCAGTAGATCCACTCCAAAACCTGTATGCCACCCCAGACAGGGGCAGGGACTGCAGGAGGCTAAATTGAAGGGAGCAGGATTGTGCCATAGCCTCTGCCATAGCATCTCTCTGTTTACCTGTTCCCCTCCCAGGCATTTCTCTTATTTTATTTGCACCATGAGCACTTTCCTCAGCACAGAAAACCTTATGTCATCCATGGTGTTTCTGTGGTCACACCCATCATACAGGGAACAGGCAGAAAGGGGTGCTGCAAGGCTGCTGATCTAGCCCTCCTGCCCCAGCCCAGGGCAGCTTTGCCCAGGCAAGAGCTATTTTGTACCACACAGACATGCCTGTGGGAGCTGAGCTGCCTGCAGCCCCCAGCATAGGCAGTTTCCTGGCCCCTCTCCCCAGCCCATCAAGGCAGCATTGTCCACCCTTCTGCAGAGCAGAGCCCTGGAGGGCCACCTCAAGCGACCATCTGGGCTCCTGCAGTATCACTCATGAAGTGATATTGCAGAAGAAGAAAGGGGGGCTCAGTATTTGGCAGTGGGAATAGGTGTGCTGTGGCAGGGAGGGACATGGGGATGCAGGATGAAAGTGGGGAGGAGATGAGCAGCTGGCTGGAGCAAGAGGGCAAAGGGCCCTTCATCCCACTGCACCTCTCCACCATGGGACCTTGGGCCCTCTCTGATCTCTTACCTCCAGCAAATTGCTTTTCAAACTTTTGATCTCTAGTGCTGGGAGAAGAGAGCTGTGCGGAGGGAGTGTAAGTTATGAAGGCAAGAGAAGGGCGTGCTGAAAACGCTGCTGAGAGTGTCCCCTGCTTGAAAAGCTGCTTTGGCATCTCTCAGCTATTTCATTAAGGTTTCTTGTTCAGTTTGGGGGAGACGCCAAGCAGGAGAGAAGTCAAATGCTCCTGGCTTGGCTGTGGGGTAGCACTGGTACAGCACTGGCTGGGGAGGTACCTGACAGCCAGGGAGTCAGGAAGGGAGGACTCCCAGCACATCAGTGAGGACAGTCAGGTTCAGAACATCACACCTGCAGAACTCTGCCCTCAAGCAAATTCTGGGTGGTGGGAAGAGGAGTGCAGGATGGAGGGAGTGCTTTGCAGGGGCACAGCCTAGCCCTTGATCTAACAAATGCCTGTCTGGCATTCTCTGAAGGCAGTGTTGTGAAATGGGGGCTGGCCCAATGCTTAAGAGGTTACTTTGGTCAAAGGTTTTCCAGGACAGGAAGCTAAAGAGGTGAGGCAGCTGTGTGATCTGCTGCCAGGGTCAGGGCAGGAAGAGTTTCAACAGGACCCAGAAGCAGCCTCAGGTACCCCAACAAGGCTGCTCCCCCCACTTCCTTTGGAGCATAAACCTACAAGTCCATTGGGAAGCATCCTCAGATATCATCAAATGCACTGTAGGTACCACAGCCCATCACTGGGAGATGGCTGTAAGAATTTGCCAGGAAAAAATACTTTTGTCCAACCACCATGTCCCAGGGGCATGGAAACCCAGACATGGCAACAGGAAACCTTCCTGGAAACTGCTGTTCTTTAGGCATGAATTAGCCTTTTGGATCTTTTTCAAACTGAAACAAAGTTAGTGGGCAGCAGCACACATGATGGGAGAAGGGCAGTGTAATAGCATGTGCTGAGCAGGGTGACCTGTGCCCAAAGGGAGCTGCACTATGGCACACAGGGCTGGGCTTGGTACCTGCTTTAAAGATGGTTGCTCTTGGTGAGGGCATAAGGGAGCTAGGCAGGATACTTGACTAAAAAACTCCCAGCCCTTCAGTGCTTGACAACTGTTGCCTGGTACCAACATTCTTGCGACCTTGCCTGGGGGCAGGTGGATGAACCTGAGAAGGGAAACATGACTTGGAGAGGACTGGGACCAGAGGCAGTGTGTCCAGCAGGCACTGGGACAGATGGGCCCGGGCAGGGGAATGCACTCACCTGGGCGTAGTTCTCAGCACGGGTCAGCAGAGGCAGCTCATAGGCAGTGGAGAAGTGGGTCCGGACCTGCTGCATCTGACCGAACCGCTCCCTCTTGCGCCATTTTGCTCTCCGGTTCTGAAACCACACCTGGGAGAGAGCAAAAGGGGGACTGTGACCAAGGGTTGCTGCTGGCAGTAGCTGGGAGCCTGGCAGCCTTGAGGAGCCTGCCAGTGGGCAGGCTCCCCCCAGGTGAGTGGTTTTGCATGGCATGGAGATGGGTGCTCCTCCACACACAAGCTCTGCAGGAGAGTGACAGTCCTGCCCTGCATCTCTTGGAGGTCTGGGACCAGCCTTTGCTGCTAGACTGGGCACACCTAAGGCAAAAGGGGATGCCCATCTGGTAACATTCTCTGCCTCTCTGGTAACATTCACAGCTCTTGCCTCCCACAGCCTAATTTGCCCTGGGATAGCCCTTCTTCCTCTCACCCTGAAATCTTTGTTACCCAGGCTCTGCCTACAGCTCTCCTGTCAGCCAGTCTCAGACAAGAAGTGTGAATACACCCATGTGTGCTGCTACCTGGCCGAAACCAGCAGTGATGGGGCTTTCCCCAGGCCTAATTCTGGCTATGACAATGCTGCTAGCTGAAGCTTCCATGTCTCACCAAGCTTTAACTGTCATTTTTCTTAACTGTGATGAGAGAGAAAAAGCCTAACACCCCTTCCCTCCTTAGCTGCAGAAAAGGGCAAGTGTCCTTCTACAGTGTCCTTTGCTCTACACTGAGTTTTCTTCACAAAGTTTGCAGCTCTCTACTTCACAGTGCTGCTCAGATCCCTTCAAGGCAAAGACCAAAACTCTCTTTCGGCTCTTATTTTTACTGGCTTGACATCAGTGTGGATTATTGCACTGTTGTCAGCACCATTGCTCCTGATTTGCATCAGCCTAAGAGAGATCAGAGCTTGGCCCAGTGTCTTCAAAGCCTCTTGAAGCTCGTGAGTCAGGGAAACACATCAATCAAGAGCCTCTTTGAAGGCACTGAGAGATGAGGGCGATCACCAGGGGCTGGGTTGTGCAGGTCACGCCAGTGCATGAAAGGAGCAGTCCTAGAGCCTCTTGGCTCTGCTTCGAGTTTTACACGGTGACTCGCTGGGGGGGTAGCAGGGGCATCGGTAACAAACAGCTTGGCCCTTCCCATACCTGGCCATGGGACAGCTTTGCTGCTTGGCAAGCAGCTGGGGAAAGCAGACACCAGGTAGGAAACTCATGTCTTAGGAGAAGAGGAGGACAAGTCAGACACTTGGCACAGGGTGGGGTGGCAGGCCAATTCTCAGGGGGGCAGGACAGCAGTGGCACCTGTAGCCTGCATCGGCAACTAGAAGCTGCTACAGGGAGAGAGAAACACAAGGGGCTGGGGTTTCTCATCTGAGCTGACCTTCTTGTTTGTGCTGGAAGAGTTGTTTCAGGCTCCGCTGCATCAGTTTCCCCCTTCCCACCATTGGCAGCCCTGCGCTGGTCTTTCACAGCTCCCCATTGTGGCCCAGCTGTCGGTCCCATGGTACAAGTGGGCAGCTGAGGGTCTGGCCACGTGCTATGGTCTGCTTGGTGCAGTGTGCAGATGATGCAGCACCCAGGCATGTCCTTCCCATGCAGGCTGCAGATGGTGTAGGGTTTACTGCCCTGCTCCATGGCCATGGTAATGTCACTGGCATGGGCCATCCACAAGCTAGCCAGACTAGCCTTACCCAAAACAGCTGCTCTTAATCCCCCCACCTCAAATCAAAAACCCTATGAGTATTTTCAGCAGATTCAAAAAGCACTAGCAGAAAGGTCCTAACATCATCCCAGTTGAGCACACGCAGTACACGAAGAGCATCCTACTGGAGCAGGTTTGATGCCCCAGGCATCTGTCTGCTTTTCTTCTCCCTCTTCTTGGCACAGCCACTCCAGCCCAGCTGCAGGCCAGTCTCAGGGCTGGCCAGGATCATGCTGCTTTGATCTGCAGATTCAAAGTTAGCGGTGGTGACCCGGTTCCTCCTCAGGCGGAGGAGGCCCCGCTGTGCACAGAGGGGTGGGGAACAGGTAGGGAGCAGAGTGCTGACTGTGCGTGAGGCCGGAATGAACATATGCCAGGCATATGCGGCCGTTCTGTTCCTGGTGTAGGCACCGGCAGCCTTGCCCGCACACCTGCGCTGCCATGCAGGGGAGCCCGCCTGAGCATTCCTCCCAGGAGCAGGATGGCCAAGCACAGGCCCCCCCCAGTGCTGAATGGCTCTGTGGTGTGACCTTTGAAGCCATCAATGCAGGGTTTGTGTGCTCAGCTTCCCAGGACAGCGCAGCAGCTGCCTTGATGGAACCGCAGGGAGGTTTCCTCGGGCCAGCTGAAGCAGAATGGGGTCTCAGCCTTTGCTCTGCCACATTTATGCATTGGATCGAACTGGCTCTGGCAGAGCAAAATGGTTTAAACTGGCAGTTCCCGAATTGCAATCCCCATGTGTCTGGTGGGCTGGGAGGCCTGTTGCAAATCATTGCATTAGGCTGAAAAAGAAGAGTGACTTCAGTCCAAGTGTTGGTGCTATGGGCAATGGAGACACTCAGAAGGCTGGCAGTAAACCATGAGTCCAAAACACCTGTAGCAAGGTTTGGATTGTTTTTCAAAGTTCTCCTTTCTCCTCTGGTCCAAACACTTATAGGTTGCTTGGTATTTTGCAGTTGGGTTTCTCCAGGCCTCCACAGTGCTCCAGGGAAAACAAAACAGGCAAGACAATGCGAAGATGTCAGCAAAAACCCTAACTGATCCTCAGTATTTCCACAATCTTAGAAGATGTCTGCTTTTAAAAAGTAAATCTAAACCCAGTCAGAAGTCCATTTTCCTTTCATTGCCTGTCACTTTTTGTCAAGAGAAACTGTTGTGGGATGGGGATGTTACAGCGGAGGTTGCAGTGGCTGGTGCAGCATGTCCTCTAGGGTTAGGATGGGGTACTTCGTGCAGAGACCAGCAGTTACTGTGGGCTGAATCTCAGTGTTAACTTAGAGTGGGAGTGTAGGGTAATGTCATGTATCTGACTCCTGCAGACAATGCTTTGATAAGCCATGATGTACCAAATAAGCCCTATAAAAATCTACAGAACAAAAAATGTTTCATGTCTCCATAAACATTCAGCCATATGCTGGTACCTTAATCCATATGCATACACAGCTGATGTGCTGTTGGGGAAGGAGAGGCCAGGAATGGCCTGAGACAAAGAAAGCAAGCAGGAGACTACTGCTTGCTCTCTTCCTGCCTCTACCCTGGCACTGCCAGTCTGCCCCTGCCACCAAGCCCCAAGTGCCCTGCACAGGGCACAGGTGGATGGGCTGAGTTGGGATCTCACTCAGGCCACTCTGGCCACATCTGGATAGTTGGGGACTGCATCACTACATTTGTCCTTCCTCCAAGCAAAAGAAAAAGGTGCTTTCCCCTGTCTCCTATGCCCACCAGTGCAGCAGTGGAAGGTGAGGCTGATCTCTGCACACATGTGGTGGTGGGCTGCTGGCAGCCATGAGGTTGCACTCATGCCCTGTTGACAACCCTCATTGCATCACTGCCCTGGTGCAGACAACAGCTGCCCACCATGTTCAAGTCTCTTGTGTTCCTGCTCTCCTCTGGCAGCCTCACAGTATCCATTCTTCCCATTCCTGTCCTCCAGCCCTACTGCCCTCCCCTCTCTGCTCAGCCTCCGTCTGTCTGTGCCCAGGACCCCATCCCTCTGTGAAAGGCCAGGCATCTCCCCTCTTCCCAGAGATGGCCACCAGCCCTTTGCTTTCCAGACTGCAAAAACAGAGCCAGAATTCATCCTTGAGAGCTGAAACTGGACACCATTTTATCAGTGGCCTGGAATGGGAAATTGGAGCCTGGGATGAGAGAATTGAATAACTTGAGCTTGTTTTCATTTCATGTTTAATTTCCTGCAGGCTTAGCTCAGTCTTTCCGCTCCTTCCACGAGCCTCCCAGGGTTTTATGGGGGAAAAGGGATCAAGATATATTACTTCTTGCTTTGCTTTGCTTTTTTTCTTTTCTTTTTTTTCCGAGGCGGTGATTTTGCTACAGCAGAGTTTGACATTTCCCTCTCACTTTCAAGCCCCTGCCGCATCACAGGGTTACCGCCGAAAACATTTCATTAATGGTCCCAGCAATCTTAGGGCTGGCTCTGAGGGGGGCTAGCTGAGGGGTTATAGTTATATTCCCTGGCTGCAAAGACTTCTTCCAGCCCCATCCCTTTCTCCTCTGCCACAGAGCAGTCCAGGAGGCAGAGATGCTCATAGCCCAAGAGAGATGAGCAGCCAGGCTGGCAGGGCCTGGGATGTGTATGCAAGGGGAAGGAGCCATGTGTGAATACATGTGTCTACCATGTTTTTCTCGTGCCACTGCCTCAGACATATGCTGCAGACCTGGATGATCTGGAAGAAGCTCAGACAGTTGCTGTATCAGGCAGTTGCTAATACCAAGCAGAAGCTCTTTCTGGAGCTCTGCAGCCCCAGACACAGAAGAGAATAAGGGAATGGAATATACACCTTGTGTAGGACCTACATGAACTCAGCACCCACTGTGTGCCCGTGCAGGCTTGTGACTGAGCCCCAGCAGTCTGTCCTTGGTTGTGTAGCTCTGCCTCTGCACAGGGCTTACACATGGCTCGCACTTTGGAAAACAGGGATGTGCAGTATCTTAATAGTACATGGAAACAAGGGGCCAGGTTGTGAGGTTCGGAAAGGGAAAATGTTGCACTGCATCACAAGGGGAATTAGCTTTGACATTGTCAGACACCACTACAGATGGCTAGAAACAGAGGCGGGCAGGGAAATGGAGAGGGGCCAGGCTGTGGAATGCCACCACTTCATAGACAGTGCAGCCCACCCCATGCATGTTGCTGGCATGGGCTCTTTTCCAGGCACCGAGAACTCTGGCAGCTATTTCACTAATGAAGCGTGAGCTTGGGAAAGGGTTGGAAAAATCAGAGCTGCCACTTGCCTTTCTAGGCTTCACATCTGCTCCTGCCTGCAATGTGGCTGGTTATGCTCCCCAGGGAGCTCGGCCAGAGGGGATGACCTCCAGCCAAAAGCTGGCTCAGCTCTGGGAGAGAGCATCAGACCTGCTGGGTACCTCACCTTCCTGCCACTCCCCTTTCCTCAGCTGAGCCTTGCACTCAGCTGAAGCTGGCCTCCATGAAATTATTCCAGGACATTTGGCATCCCTTAGATGACCATACTTTCCTTGGGAGAGGGACTGTTGAGCTTCCCTCAAAGCCCATGGGGCTGCCACAGGTGTGTACCCCAACACCCCACAGCAGCTGGAGCCTCTGCCAGCTTGGCAGAGGGTGTCTGAGTACACAATGGCTATTTGGCTTGCAGGGGTAAAGTAGTAAGGGGCTCACGGCTAATTTATGATTTCCAACCCTCTAGCCCTTGGTTCTTCATCCTTGCCGTAGGCATTTACTTTGCCATCAGTCTGCTGAGCTGTTGGCCCATGCCTGTACCCACTCCTTGGCTGTGAGCTGATGGCCCTCAATGTTAGAGTGTTGGCACTGGAAGGTACCCCCAGAGCTGCCCAGAAGAGTGGGAGACCAAAGTCAAATTTAAACAAGCTATAACACAACCCAGAGCTGGAGACAGGCACTGGCATGATTCACTAAGGCTCTAAGTCCAAAAGCTTCCTTCATGGGAACTGCAGCCCTGTGCCATCAGCAGAAGAACCCTGTGCCATCTCCAGTTGCACTTCCATGCCTCCTGAGGGTCTGCCACTACCACGATGAAGCTAAACAGTTCATTAGACAGCAGCCCCAGCCCCCTGGGAACACATGTGAGATACCCAACACATAGAGTACCCTGAGTCTGCCCAGCCAGCACCCACAGGCCTGCTGGTTCTTGTTCTCCAGTGACAGGCAGTCTGCATTTCTACCGACAGCATGGCAGCCCTTCATCATGAGGTGGTGGCTGAGTGCCAGACCATAGCCCAGGGGACTGGGCCCTTTCTGTCAAAGCAGGGGAATGACTGAAATGCAAGTGCTGACACCTTTCAACTCTGGGTAAGCGCTCAAGTGCCAGCCCACTTGGACAAGTCCTTCAGCCGCTCCGTTACACGAGCCCTGTCATTGCCACCCCAAGTGAGGAGTGTGCACTGGCAGCCATGGCAACAGGCTACTGGGGCACTTATCTCAAGAAAAGGTGATATCCCCTTCTGCCAGATATCTGCCTGGTGAGGTGCTTCTGCCCTCAGCTTTAGTGTTATCCAGTGGGGGAAACCCCCCAAGATCATAGGTCAGATGCAAGGAACTTGTAGATTGCATGTGCCTCACCTGCCCTGGCTCTGTTAGCAGCCCTGCGTGCTGGCTCGGATGACACGCTAGCTGCACACACTGGCTCAGAAGCAAGCAGGAGGAGCTTGCCACCCTCCAGCACCTCATTCTCATTCCTGAGCAAAAGGAATTTCATGCACTGTGCAGTGTGTAACCAGATGCTGTGCTTGGCCTCCCAGGAGACCCCATCGGCACTTGTGATGTGTTCCTGGGAAATCAAGGGCTTCATCCAGTGACAGAAGTAAAGAGCTGATGTTTGTAGCACTGCCTTCCTCTGCCCATCCTGCAGTGCTCAGCATGCTACACTCGGGACCAATGGGAATCATGCTGCTTCCTACTGAAATGCAGCTGTGTCCAGCCTGAAGAGAAACAGCTGTAGGGAAGAAGAGCAAACCAGCCCTGCAAACCAATTTAGGAAGCAGACAAGAAAAATCCTGCTTCCAATTGAATCTGGAATTGAAAGTACAGACTAAAATGGACTTAAGCATGGATGCTGGCTTGACTGCTTCGACTGTCTGCAACAACTACTTGTAAAGGTTAAAGCAGAGAGAAGCTGGGCTGCCTGGGAACTAGGAGTCTGCCTGGTGTAAGACATAAAACCAGATGTCTCCACAGGCCAACTATTCAGGTAAATCATAGAATCACACAATATTCCAAGTTGGAAGGGACCCACAAGGATCAGTGAGTCCAATGCTTAAGTGAATGGCCCATGTGGCGATGGAACCCGTGACCTTGTGATTTTTAGCACCATGCCTTAACCAATATTCTTGATGTTAATGCAGGTTCTGGGGATGGTGAGTTGACAAATGCCTGCAGATGGAAGTTACATGATTAGCTAGGCTGGAGAAAGAGCTGACCACCAAGGCATGAGTTGTGGATGTCTGCTCCACGCAATGATGTTCCTCTTTGCATATGCTTCTGAGCCCTTCCAGGCCTTCTGTTAAACTCCTTTGATGTGGATTTTGGCTCTACTGGACCCCCAGTTTAGTTTGGGGGAGCTAGTTCATAGGAGCTGGCACCTGTGTGGGTGGAGGTGGTTGGAAGTCTATCAACAGTGTAGCTGTTTCACTCTCCTGCTCCTCCCAAGGTGGTGGGTGCACCTTTTGTCTCCAGGTCTCCAGCTCTCATGCATCCTTAGCACCTACTTAACCAAGCAGGCAATAAAAGCTCCCTGTCCTGTATCACCTCATGCTCTCTGCTGCTGAGCTCCTGGTCACCTCTGCGTCCCCATCTTGCCAGAAAGAGCCCATCGTGTGGAAAAGCTTGCTCACACTCAGACTAATGAACCTGTGTCCCCTGTGAGTCTCCTGAAAAAAGTGGGTTTTGTAAAAGCTTTGTTGTGGGTGGCCATGAGGTTTACCTGCCTGCTGTCCCATTAGCTCAAGGGCAAGAGGTGTCTCTGTGAACACCGAAGAACAGGACACCAGACCAAATAAGGGAGCTGACACTAGTGTCAGATGTGGATGTACCTTCCTGGCCTGTCCCTGCTGGAGAGGCATGCTAGCCTGTGGCACAGGCCCTGGGTAGGGCTCAGCTGCCTGCAGTTTATGGTGGGGCTGCAGGGGACCTCAAGGGGCTTGTTTGCAGCTCACCCACCCCTCACCCAGCCCCAGGCCATTCCCCCATACCTGTACACGAGCCTCGGTGAGGTCTGTCCTCATGGCTAGCTGCTCCCTGGCATAGACATCAGGATAGTGGGTTTTCTGGAAGACCTTCTCCAGCTCCTCCAGCTGGTAACTAGTGAAGGTGGTGCGGTTCCTCCGCTTTTTGCCCTTGTTGCTCTCCGAGTCGGCCTTGTCCATGGGGCTGGGGAGGTCTGTGCTGGCCCTGTCCTGGGGCACTTTCACCCCAGCCTCCTTCACGCTGAGGTAGCTGCTGTCCATTCCCGAAGGGTCAGAGCTCGGCTGCAAGTCGGCCTCTCCCAAAGCACTGTCTTTACCTATTTGGGTGGGAGAGCAGGAAGGGGAGAGGAAGGCGGGTTTCAGCAGAGGCAGGGGGTGGGGAGAGACAAAAGGAAACATGTAAATATTTTGACCAATTAGTTGGTTCAACCAGTTAAAGGTAGCACCCTGGCAGGGGGGCAGCAGCTCCCAAAGGTGGGCAGAGAGGTTGGCACCAACCCTGGACAGAGACAGAGAGAGAGGAAGGAGGTGAGACAAGGCAGAGGGCTGCCGTGGGTGCAGAAAAGCTTCCAGCCTTGGCCTCAGAAGGTATTGGAGCTCAGCTTTGGGGTGGCACAGGCTGTAACCAAGGGAGGAGGTGGCTGTTATGGCGGAAAGGTTGATCACAGGCCACAGAGGCCAGCACAGATGGGGAAGGGGAAGTTGGGGCAAGCTCTGCCAGCTACTCCTCCCTCTCCAAGAGCTAGGTGGAAGGATGAGCCCTGTGCACTCATGTGCACACAACCTAGTCAGACCCTTCTCCAACACCCACATTGGGACTCAACCCCGTGGAGCATTACATTCCTTGGTCCTGGCCACAGGAAAGGTCTCTGAGGATAGAGGAACCCATCTGCTCCCCACATCAAGTAGGTCCCCTGTCACCAGCCCATTGGTGCTGCCCTACTGAATAGCACACAGTAGAAAACCAGTACCCAGCAGCCACACGTGGTGCTTGGTTATGTCTACTTTCTTGTCCTGCATCCCCTGGCAGGGGTGGTGTGTCAGCAGAGGTGCTCCTGACTGAAACCCCACAGTCACCCCACAGCCTTCTGAGAGGACTTGCACTGCTTTTGGCAAGAAGGCTATAAATGAGGCTTAGTGCCACAGAAAAGGACATCATGAGACACCAACAGAAACAGCCCAGCCTGTGTGCAGGGCAGAAGGAAGTGAGGAGTCTGACAGCAGCTTGGGAAGGTGTTCCTGCCTGACTATCCTCAACAATTAATAATTAATGGGACATGAGGTATGACAGCAGCATGGTGATACAGGAGGAGGACATTTCAACCACTCAACCAGTAAGCTGGTTCCTGTCTAGGTGTAGCAGCTACAAGTAAAACCACCTTTGAGCTTCTATAATGGGGCATATGTATCCTCAGGCCCATGTGCTGTGGTGGAGCATCCTCTCCTGCCCACCTTCTGCCTCCAGCGGAAGTGGTGACTCCTTCATTAGCAAGAGTGCTGCTATGCCAGCAGGACCCTGTGGTACGTCCTGACAAGTGACCACGGCTCTCCCTTGTCTGGTGCCACTGCTCTGCATTGTGGGCCATCTCCAGACCAGAAAAAGAGGGATCTGTGTGAACAATAGCCCACCTGCACATGCTGCACAGCTCCATGTCACACCTGGCCGCATTTCTGGCTGGGATCTTTGGACAAAAAACATGGTAGCCCTACTGCACATTTTAACCACTATTCTCAGTTCCTAAATGTCCGGGAAGTGGTACAGTGGTACTTCCTATTCATGCTCTCCTTACCAAGAAAAGAGTACATCAGCTGGATGATCTTTTTTTTAAGTTTCGCATTAGCTTATTTTTAAATGCTACCAGTCCAGGATCAGTCTTTCTAGGAAACAGCTCCACCATCTAGTGGTGTCCCCACTGGGAGCTTTTCCCCAGCAGTGTCACATCCACAGTCATTAATGCCAGCTCAGGCATCTTAGCCTGTGTCTTTGGCAATTTCCATTTTTCCAGCACTTATCTCTTGTTACATCTTTCCACTAATTCACTGTATATTTAGAGTTTAGCCCTTCTGTGAACAGCTGTCATGTCTCCACAGCCAAAACCCATGAATGAGCTTGTGAGAAGGTGTGCATGTCCTCACCCATTTCTCACTCTTGCAGCTGAAAGACTGCATTGAAGTGATTGGGATAAAACCAGGATGAAATATAGCTGTCACCCTCGGGCACAAGGGCAAGGAAGGCCCAAATTTAAGTCTGGTAGGATGAGCTATGAAAGAGTTTTGAGAAAAAAATTGCCCAGTTGGTACAGACAGGTTGAAAGCAGACCTCAGGTAAAGGTAACAGTTGCAGGAGCTATCTGCAACTACTTCCCTGCTATGATTTTGGATTTCCTGCTTTCTCTGATACTGTTCGCTCAGGCTTTTGAGGATGCCCCTGTAAAGCTTTCCAAATTCTGATGTTATCTGTCTCAGCAGTCTTTTGCTTTTGATCCTTAGGAACATTTTGCCAATATTTATACTCCCTGGGTGCCAGGACCAATGTCTAGGCCAGGGACTGACACACTGCCTCCTCTTTGCACCTCTCCTCTCTGACCAGCTGACCTCTTCCACTACTCCTGGGGGATGCAGGTGGGCAGGCCTGTCCAAAAGAGGCCCTGCCCCACAGCCTAGGTAAATCATATGATACAGACATGATATTTATAAATTTCACAGCTGAAAATAAAACAGTTCCAGAAACTCTGCAGCAATAGACTACCACCTATGAGAGTCAGTAGAGACAGAGCAATAAATATATGAAAGTATTCCAGGAATTTTTTTTCTCTTGTCTTTCTTTCTTTTATTATTTATGATACCAGGAAGCCCAGTTCCCCACGGCTTTGTGCTGGCTGCCTCCCTAACTCCCAGGTGCCCTGCAACTGCAGCAGCAGCAAACATAACACCTGAGGCCTTTCCTTGGGAACTCCTCTGCTGTTTCTTATCTGCTTGAGCAGCTCAGCTAGCTGGGAAAGGGTCTGCAGAAACATATACACAGAAAAGCTCTCAGTCTGTTTGAATTTCATTGACTGCATAGCCCAAACTGCATCTGGGAGCTGGGCATCGGACTTTCAGCAGCGATAGTTACTTCCATCACAAACCATCAGCCCCAAGGAGCAAGCGACTGTCCCTGCTATGCACACAATGGGTATTCCCCTGCCTGCCTGCTGCCAGTCCAGAGCCCTCCTGCCAGCTCAGCCATGCTGCTGTCATGATCCTGCACTGCAGCAGACATGGGCTTCTTGACCTCTAGCCCCTGAGGGCCCTGGCAGGGATGAGCTGACTCCATGAGAGGAGCAGCAACTGTGGGATGGAGGGCAGGACAGCAGTGTAGGGAGGGGATGGCGTGCATCCATCCTCGGCTGAGCATCCCAAGAAGTAACTCATTCCCTAGAAACAGGATCTCTGACCTCAAAACAGTCACGCTAACTGCTGAAGTGAAACAAATTGCATACATCTGCATATGGATATGCCCAGACTTCCTGTAACTGGAGATGGCCTCAAAGTTTCAGTGCAAAGTTTGGGTGTCTGTTTCTAATCAAACCTAGAGAGACCTTGAGTTATATATTGTGAAGATCTCCATGACAAGGAGTTAATGTGAACACCATTGCACCCTTACAAGCCCAACAGGACCGCTTGATGCCTCTTTCACTGCTTATGACTCCATCCTTGCCCTTGTAGCAGTAGAAGGATATTTTCTGGTTTCCCACAATTATATGCTGCTTTCTCAGTGCCTTGGTGCCTGCTAGACCATCAGCACTGCCAAGACCTTCCCTGAGTCACCCTGTGTCTGTTGCCAATGGGCAGGGACAGCCCAAGATGTCTGGGCATGTGAGCCCCAAACACCTTGCAGCTCCTTTTGGGCAGGATACCTGCCTCCCCAGTTCACCTGGAGGGGTTACGCCTTTCCAATCTCACCGTGTCTGTCCTGGGAACCCTACAGAAGAGAAAGGGGGTGCAGGAAACACAAGACCATGTGGTATATATGGCCATGAGGTAAGCAAGCCCGTGAGGGAGCCAAGCATCACGCTGCTCTGCTGCTACTGTCTTGAGGGAATGGTCATTTTGCTCATGCTGTCAGAATGTTTGAATTCACAGCTTGTATCTGTTTTGTTCCTCAAGTGTTCTGTTTTGTGAGGATGATGAAGTAAAATCTTCAGTATGTACAATCTTATCTATGAAATTTAATTTAAAGCAAAGTCAGCTTGGTGCATCCACACGGCAATGTAGGATGGGACATTTCCAATACACAACTTTGGGCCCAACTTGAAAAGATAGGTCTGCTTTGCACAGCACATGCATGACAAGCCACAGCTCCTTGATGATAGGTTCCTTCACATAGATTCTGTGACTGTAGCCCCACAGCCCATAAGGATGCAAGACAGCTATATGGCCAACAAAACCCAGGGACACAACCAGCACAAGGTAGTTTCTCATGGGCTCCAGGCAAAAAAGCCTGGATCTTGGTATTGCCAATATACTGCTGTGACAGCATCTCGTCCGAGCTATTACACTGTCAGTGAGGAGTTTATGCTATCCCAGTCTTGGGAAGCTTCAAGCATAACCTAGAAGACCTACTATCATGTGGCAGCTCAGAGAGGCTGCCTGTTGGTGGACAACCCCTGTCCAAAGCACATGGCACAAGTGGCGTGGGGCTGCACCAGTCTGCCTCTCTGCTCCCACACTAAATGACATAGGGGCCTTCTGCCTTCCTGCCCAGGTGTGGGCACAGGGGTGTTCCCCTCACTCATCCCCAGATTCTGTGGCCATTTCATGGTGCCTCTCCCTGTCTGCATAGCCATGATCTGACTCTTCATAGCAATGATGCATTAAAAAAAACCCAGAACATCACAACCTCAAGTGCAGATGTTTAAGAATACTTTTTAAATCCAGTTCTGGCTCTTAATGTCATTCTCTGAACTCTCGCATAAATATCAGTGCTAAAATTTTACCTAGATAGGGTTTGGGCAGGGTACTCTACACTTTTTGCCAAGGCAGTTTTGCACCACAGCCCAGCCAGCACACCTGAAGGACTTGGTCAGCCATAGTAACCTTATCCAGTTTTTGTGATCTTGTCTTAACACATGCTGAAGCCATTATGCTTGTTCTTAAGCTGTCTGCTGCAGCCTTCTGCCTCCTGTCTGTCACTGAAGTCTAGAAGTCAGCACAAGACTATCATTTAAAAAATATCCACATCTAGGGTTATATGGGATAAAATGGAGTGGCTGGATTTTAAACATATAAAGACCCAAATATTTAGGTTTATTTTTGTTCAGGGAGTCAGTAATCT